CATGCAGCCGCCTTCACTTTCTCTACAACAGGGGTAGCCAAACTGCGGCCCTCCAGCTGTGGTGGAACTACAAATCCCATGAGGCATTGCAAGATTCTCACAGACATGACTCCTGGAGAGAGATGCATCATGGGATTTGTAGTTTCACCACAGCTGGAGGGCCGGAGTTTGGCTACCCCTGGTCTACAAGCTGCAGAGGAGACTCTAATATGGGATACACTCTGCTGGCAAATGTGCAAAGCTTAAAGTGTATGTAAACCCCGAAAATTAGCTTCTCTTTTTTGGTCTGTTAAATATACCATCGAAAGTGTTTTGTTGATATCTGTTTAATTAGTGCAAAGAAACCTGTTGATCCTGCCAGAAATCCGATGAGCTCCTAACTTCCCCTGGTGAACTGATAGTACTGTGCCTCCGCTGCACTAAAATCCCAAGCAGTGTTCTCACCCCTGCCCAGTTCTCTCCAGAACATCACCACCACCTTGGTATGGAGATGAGGTGAGAGGAACTGTTCTGTAGTCCTAATATATGTGTGACAACATTGCTCCTCCATAGATACAGTACAGTGAGTGAGCGTTGTCACCCTAGGACAAGAAGCATCTTACTGGTAGGATCATCAGGGGAAATTAAGGAAAAAAAGCCTAAAAAACCAAATGCAGCCACCACATGTAAAGACTAGTACGCTGCAACAGATGACATGTTTGTTCTTGGGTTTAGATGTGCCGTATGTAACAGCTTTGGGTAGAGTTGCCCTTTAAACCCAAAATCCTAAACAGCCCCACTTGGCTGTTGGCTGGAGATGGTTAATAACAGGTGGGGACACGGAATGATGAATGGGGACAGTGATGCTCCCTGCCGATGCCTCTGTCATGTACAAACCCCATTTTTTTATTTGCTGTATCATGTGGAACAAATCACATGTCTTGTAAATCTCGGCTCCTGCTGTGATTGATGCCTGATGGCCTCGGCAGGGCGGCCCGGGCTGTCCAGCTGCTGCTGTGTGTGAATTCCTCACCGCCTGTATCTCCGCTTGTTCAACCAGCCAGGTCTTAGAATATGAAAGTGCATCCATTGGCCACCAGACCTCAAGCTTTAACATGTTATTGGAGCTTCAAAAGTTGGTGCCGTCTTTTTAAATCTGCAGCTTTCATTTAAAAATAATCCCTGGTCATGAAGTTCCATCTTTAGGCCCTTCCTCTTATAGGGTGACCACTGTCTCCCAATTGTTCTTCTGCGTTGTCACTCTGTCACTGACATTCTTCCCTGGTTCAGACTACAAGCAGCCAAACCGACACACATTAGGAAGGAGTGGTCCACCGTTGTTGCTTTCAAGAACCCAGTGCAGAGCGATGATGTACAGCTGACATTGGAGAAGGGGCATGTAGACAGGAAGTGGCTAAAAGAGGCTGGAGCAAATCAGCAGCAATGAGATGGGGAAAGAAAATAGAATAATACAGTGCACAGAGCAAACTAAATGATATCCTTTCTGGGTTTACATCTACTTTAAACTCTGGGTGCAAAAACATTCACTTAAATATTTCTCAATGGCCACAGAGGATTCAATGCAGCTCTGATTGCACTAAATGGCTTTGCAAGCCCAGATTTTAACATGTAAAAGTAGCAGTGACCTCATCACTGTGCTGTACATAGCCTGTGCAGAGAGCAGAGCTGTGGGAGGGACCCAGAAGGACTGCAGACAATTACAGGAAGGGGTGATGACAAGACCAGTCACCCTGCAAAAGGAGAGAGAGCAGCAGTGAGTGGTCTTTGTTACAGGAGGGGCGGAGACAAGACCAGTCACCCTGCAAAAGGAGAGAGAGCAGCAGTGAGTGGTCTTTGTTACAGGAGGGGCGGAGACAAGACCAGTCACCCTGCAAAAGGAGAGAGAGCAGCAGTGAGCGGTCTTTATTAGAGGAGGGGGCGGAGACAAGATCAGTCACCACGCAAAGGGAGCGAGAGCAGCACTGACCGGTCTTTATTTACAGGAAGCTCCTCCACAGAGGCAAAGCGTCACAGGGGATTACTGCACTGATCTGAAAGAGATGCACAAAGCTCACCAAGATTCAAGGGACAATACACATGACTCTTGTATTTAGACAATATTTGCCTATTCCAGAGTTCATCTTTAAAGGGTCAGGTTCCCACTTTAAAATCACTAGTCAGCTTTTCATAGATGGTAGAGATTAACTATCGCCATTAGGAATCCGGCCCATTGCTGATACGAGTGCATATAAACCGGAAGTGGCTGAAAGAGGCTGGAGGGGATCAGCAGCACTGAAATAAAGGATACAATTTTATAGGGGAAAGACATGGCAATTGTAAGGTACGCTGGGGGAAATTTATCAAAATCTGGAGCAGTTGCCCATGGCAACCAATCAGCTTCTCTCTTCAGTTTGTTGAGTTTAGCTTTGATAATAAGAGGGAAGCTGACTGGTCATCATGAACAGCTGCCCCAGATTCTGTCAGTATCTGTCTGCAAGCTAACTTTCATCCAGTTATGGTTCACATCTACATTAGACCTGCCTTCTAGACATGGAGAACTTGTAAAACCAGAGAGTATGGGTCACGTCACCATCGATCTTGGGCATTGAACTTGTCGCCAGTGTCTATGGAATCGCTTCCTCAGCTAGCCAGGCCGACAAGATGTCGCTCCCTCATTGCTCTCTGACTAGCAGGAGGGCTTCAGCAGCATTCAGGGCCAGCAAGGAACCAATTCCACAGAGGACAGTGGAAGGTTGTCCGGCATGACTGCCCGATCGAATCCCCAGTGTAATATCAGTCTATAGCTAAGACCCTCCCATCTTGATGCCTGAGTACTGTCCCAAAGGGATGTGGAAGGGGGCCCTGCCTAGCCTTATGCAAATGTCAACATCTTTTTTAGGGGGGGAAATACAAATATTTTATATGCAACACTGCAGGGTTATAATATTATTGAAATTGGAACTAGTCCCACCATTTATTGTCCCCAACATTCAAGGCATGCCAACAGTCAAGGTTGCCAGTGTGCTTATTTCAGCTCTCAACCGAAATGGGGAGCCATTAAATGACTGGTCACATGTGCATCACCATGGCAACTACAGTCTAATAGAGGCCACAATGACGCCTTCCTTGGCTGTAAAGGAGAGGAGGTTGTAGTTCTGCTTTAAGGACTGAATTTTTCATTGCTCTATATGCTGGTTTCCCATGAAGCGCCTCAGTTTACATGAATACCTGTAAAAAATGGTGTATTAGAAGTTAGGATTTCTTTAAGTTTCACTTCTGAGGGGAATGTATATTCCTACACACAGCTGACTTCCTGTCTGTTATCCATTACCAGGTAGGTGCAGCCATTCGTGTTGCACAGGCACCCCTTCTGAGAGTGATGCCAGAGAGAATGGTTCCAGCTTTAGCCATCAAGTTAGTTCTTGTAGAGTCGAATCAAGATGGCTGCCTCCACTGGTCCCCCACGATATGGCTTCCCCATTCTAGGCCAAGGATAAACTGAAGATACATATAAATAGTGTCTGAATTCTTTTCCTGGAATCTCACTGTTCTTGTGAAGTGCTGCTGAGTGCGTTCTTATCACAGCCCTTCCCCCCAACCCAACTTGTGACTCTTTTATCCGTTTTCCATGTCACACAGCGGAGACCCCAGGGAGCGCTAGCAATGTGCCATATCTGCAGCAACTGGCTCAAATCACAGCCGTTAATTCCGCTTATCCAGGCGCTGACAGGCACTTAAGTCCTTGTGCGCTGAGACATGTCGCCCCTCCCGCCGTCCGCTCCGTCTGTGGATGGGACGCGGCAGAGATCATGTACCGTCTGTCCCGAGCCTCTTCACACCTGATAGGGTATGCGTGCATGGGACAAATTGAGCCAAAATACACAAACTTCCTCACCTCCAGCCGCTGCCGCCCCCCTTTCCTTTTATATCTAGACTTTCCCCCAATTCGATTGTAAGCTCCTGTGGTCACAGCTGTCTTCTCCTCCTGCCTCATATGCGTGCGCTTGTTTTGTCTCAACACCCTTTTATGAGTCCCCTGGGAGTTATGACATTGATAAGTGGCGCGGCACTTTGGCCCTCATGCCTCGCTGATGTCATCGTTTCCCGGTGAAATGACACTGCAATTTTTCCAAAATTTCCACGGAATGCAAATGATCTTCTCCCAGTCTCGTTATATTCTAAAAATGGAGCCTTAATGAATATTGTTTGTGTTCTGAATTTCGAAGGGGCTCAATGATATGTATTCTGTATTGTCTGTGGTGTGTGTGGTTGGGTATGGTGGAGGGCCGTATTGTGTATTAGTAGACAGCGGGGATTCTGGGTATGTACTGCGCTGTTTCTGCGACGCCTCGCTGATCATTTCTTATTTCTCCCCATCACACAGATGATCCAGCCCCTCCTAGAACTCGACCAAAACCGCAGCAAACTCAAACTATACATTGGGCACCTGACTGCCCTGTGCCACGACAGAGACCCCCAGATTCTGAATGCACTTCACCCGCCCGAATCCTACCACCTGGACGACAACCAGGCAGCTTGGGAGCAGAAGCTGCAGACGCTGACCGCCGAACAGGTGAGACGCCCCAATGAGGATTCCTCTTCATTTATAGAAAATTATATGATTTATCCTACTTTTTTTTATTCCACTTTTGCAACCAAAATTCAGACAACCCCCACCATGTATTTGTTATGTGTTCCTATTCACACACCATATCTAAAAATTAGGGATGTTCAGATACCAGTGCCGATACTTGGCATTTTCACGAGAACTACCAGGGTTGCAGCTGGGACCTGGCTCTGGCGCTCTAATACTGTCCTGAAATCATTAGTGCATCCCTTTATATGTATGTACTAGGGATGCACCGATACTAAGTACCGTACTATGTACAAGTACAAGTACAGATACTTTTCCAGCTGCACGACTACACTAGAGAAAAATTCAAAAGTTAGGAGGCAGCTGTCATGTGTAAGGAGCACACGGAGCTCCCGGGATTTGTACATCTCGGTTTTAATGTATGATTATAAATATATATAAGGAATGCACCGATACCAGTTTTTTTTACTCACAGATACAAGTACTGATACATTTCTGTTTATTGCCATGTGATAGTTTTTGTAAAACAATACAGACTAATGATTTCAGGACAGTGGTGGAGTGCCAGAGCCAGGTCCCAGCTGCAACCGCTGCAACCCTGGTAGTTCTCATGAAAATGCCAAGTAACGGTACTGGTATCTGAAAAGTATCATTGCATCCCTAATATATATATTTTTTAAATCATACATTAAAACTGGGATTCACAAATCCCAGGAGCTCCGTGTGCTCCTTACAGATGACAGCTGCCTCCTAACTTTTGTATTTTTCTCTAGTCTAGTCTTGGAGCTGGAAAAGTATCTGTACTTGTACTTGTTGCGAGTACGGTAGTTGGTATCGGTGCGTCCCTAATAAAAATCTTTTTTTTTCTTCTACCTTCTAGTTGTATTTGAGTTGCAGGCCTTTGCATGCTCCTCTCTCAGGTTCAGTAACAGGAACCTCTGAGGCTCCATTCACACATGAACGGTTTTTCGCACTAAACATAAAACCAATGCATTGCAATGTGCATTGTTCAGACTATTGCGGTGGCTGCGCGGTATGAAACCGCGGATCCCGCAAAATAGTCCAAGCGTAATTTTATGGGTGGGTTCCGCGCATTCTGGCTATAGTGCGGAAAATGTGCAGAATCCGTGCGTATGTTATTGTTTGCCCGGTTTTGTTCCACGCGGAAACCGCTATGTGTGATTGGAGCATGACTGTCCTAATAGAAAGACTTGGGACAGGCTGAGCTCCCCCTCATTACCATACAATGTCCTCAGATCTTTAAACCTTTGTTAGGACAGACAGTCCTGCCCATCTAGTTTACAAATGACAATGATATACAAGGAATGGGCCGCAGCCCTAGAATTGGACACCACACCCTTCAATCAAATGAGTAAACCGATACAGAACAAGGATAGGGCTTTCAAGGTGCCTAAACAAGAGCGAACATCTCCAAATAAACCAATGACGACTAGCAGTTTCCTTATCTGCAGGGTGGAGGCCTTTGGGCCACCAGGGCAAGATTTTAGTACCTATTTTGGAGAGACCCCTGTGACCGCAGGTGCTTTGGGACGTCTCCCTCCTGTGATCCACCACCCACATGGAATGCTGTCCGCCTCTGGTATTTGAGATCCCGACCTAAGTAGTCTTACTTTAGTAATGTGAACGTCCTCCTCCTGAAGAAACCATTTGAGGCGCAACGCGTTGAGAGACGCAAACCACTTCTGGCACCACATGCTGATTTATTT